GCGGAGTTCAAGAACATCGGTGAAGCCGGTTTGACGACACAGAAACGGTGGTTCCAGGAAAAAGCAAACTGAGGATAATATGTACTTGTCTTTGGTATTGTGTATATCCTCGATCACTATACAATAACGCGCAAATATTATAATTCAAAGGGCATTTACAACACGCGCCAAAAGAGCCGTGATCCCGCCAAAATGCTCGAACCATCTAACAGAGTGTAAAAAGGGGGCTGGCAGGCAACACACGACTTTTACCTCGTGCCAAAATGCTGCTTGTTCCAAAAATTGTTTCCTCTGGTGGGTATCTTATATTCTGGGTTCTACTCTTTGAATGAGTAAACGTGAATTTTGCCGCTTGTTTCATACTGAGAGGTCATGACACGCATATTGATTTTCTGCGGTTATTGTTTCTGGTCGGCATGATTTGCCCCCTAATGCAAGAGCACTTTCTTCGACCTCTTTTGAAACGTAAATCTCTTCCTTTGCGGCTAAATAAGAGTTTTAGGTTGTTTATTCTTCTCCAAAGTGCCTCCTGGATCTGATTTTCTTTTGTCCGTGAATGTGATGGTTTCCTTCAATTTTTGTCACGCTGGGCCCATCTCGTTTAGCATATTCTGCACGATGTTAAATTTCCACCGAAAGTGATTTACAGATCCCAATTTCCAGGAATGGATTATAGCAACGCATTCTGTGAGGAGAGATTTTTTAAGTAAAAAGGACTCGGATCCTTAAATCGATCGTGTTTAAGCTAACCAATTGCAGTTTTCATATTCTGTGTTAATTTTGTAGCCATTATAGCAACGGTGATCTTTTCACATGTGAAGATATCACGCTTTTTCGCGGAAAAAGCTCACCTGGTATTTCACTGGTGTTAACCCTTCAAGTCCCAATAGTGACCAACAGCAATTTTCTCCTAACGACATCCATACAATGTCATGAGATGAGGTTATGAGAATTAATTAAATGATCACCTAAGAGAAAATACTTTGATCTTTTATCAAATTCTCTCAACTCATTCTTTAAGGAAATATATAGAGATCAGTTTGGAGAATTTGTATGTGGATATTGGGGCTTAAAAGGTTAAAATACAGTGAAACCTCCATTTAACGAACGGGGTCCTCGGTATAACGAATCACATTCTTAGTCCCAGTAATAGCAAACTGGGAAAGAACCTCGATATAACGAAACCTCTTTATAGCGAACAGATTTGTCAGTCCCTTGGACGTTCGCTATATCGAGGTTCCACTGTTCAGTAATAAATATTGTTATGCAGCTGAAAAAGTGTCTCCGACTGCGCACACTAGCCTCTCAAAGGTTTCAGTGCAACCCGGTTACTTCAGACACCACGGTGACACGCCATGGTGTCCGTATTATCCAGATGTTTGTATTAAGCAGGTTCTCAGAGAAAACGCCACGGACACGCGTTTTATCGGTATAAAGACTAAAGCAGCCATTCTTACGAGAAATAAATCTTGCTTCATTTCTTAACTGTAAGTGTAACAATGAAAGGAATCTGCGAGTGTGTGACTGACGCTTTTAGCTTGCGACTCAGCTAGGAGGACTGAATATTCACCGTTTTTGTCATGTTTTCACTGGTAAAATATTCAGTCATAGGTTGTGCACAGATTAGCAGTGTCTGTAAAGGGGGGTTGACGGTTATGGGAGTTTTGTGACTCGGGACACTAGAAAATATAGCAATGTCCGTTGTCTTCATTAACCATGTGTCCATTCAAGAGGGTTAATAATGTTCGAGAAAATATATGGATTGAGCTTTTCATCGGGCCAACAACTCCCAACAATGTTGGATGTTAATGTTGCGTCCGTTTGCACACCCTGTTGAATGTTATTGCGTGTTGTTGGGAGTCGTTGCGGAAAGTTTGAAACCAGTCAACTCCCGAAATTTGTGTTGTTCCGTAATCGTCGAAGGGTAACGCAACAATGTTGGGTCCGTTTGTACCGCTATTCCGACATTGCTGGGGCCACCCACGCGCATTACACATGGTCTTCCCACGATGCACTGCAGGTCCCAATATTGTTGGGAGTTGTTGCACACTTTTGCACACCAATGTTCGCAAGGACGCAACAACTCTCAACATTGTTGGCCCAACGATGTTGGGAGTTTAAGAAAAGTCTCTGTCACCAGGCAACGGTGCAAAACCATTCGTTAATTAATAAGCATTCTGTTCAGAAATAAATCTAGTAAAACTTAAAATTTAACTTAAAAGTAGCTCGGCTGATCTTACTATGTTTAAGGTTATGTTAGTGTTACATATTTACATAACCTTTAACAGCGTGAACGAGTCGGTATAACAAAGGCATACGATTTTCCTCATAAACAATAATAATTGTAATGAATATCTTGTTCTGATTTATTACAGTCAGCAAGGGAGTGCATTTATTTGCCTTAGAGCCCTTAACAATAACTCATCAAAATCGAAAATCTTCTTTTAGAGCATAAATATAAACTGAATAATTATTATTGCAGCGGCTTCCTTTTGAAAGAAGGAATTACCATGCAGTGTTAAATAAGCGAAGTAATTGATAAGCGTCCTGTTTTAATAGTTACAACTGGTTAAATTCATAAATAACGCCTCAATGTGTAGAACCAACTTGCAAGGCATAAATGAAAATAACTATTCTTCTAGTGGCTTTTTAAAAGGAAAAAGTGAACGATGTTTTATTAATAACGGATGTAATTGAAAAGCAGCTTGTTTAAAGTTGGAACAGAAATTTAGCAACATACAGCTGAGAAAATAACATATATGCAGGAAACAGTAATTCTTTGCATGGTAAATTAGCGCCAATTAAACCTAGATTACTTAATCTAAATTTTGGAGGGTTGAGGCGTATTATTATAGCTCTTCAAGAAAACCGTAGAAGAACCGCAGAGGAACGGTGTTAGAAGGTATTAAGACAGGTATATGACTAACTAAAAGGTTAGTTACTAAAGGACGTTTCAAATAGTTTTGTGTTTGTCGTTTACTTTTAACAAACAAATAATGTTATTTTTTAACCGCCACTGAGAGGCTCGACGTTTTACAATTTCTCTTCTAGCCTCGGAAATCTTCACTCGTTTAATGGATTGTTTTTATTCGTTCAGTATTTGTTTGGTCTGTGGCAAAAACATTCTATACAGAGCAGTCGTTTAAACATGTAATACTCAGGAGGGCACGTCCGAATACGTTTTCAGGTGTTCTAGGTCTAAAATCAAATTTTAAGCACATTTTTCCAGCCAGCTTTTAGTCGAGGTTGATTCTTCAGAGGACAAAAAAAAGATGAGGATATAAGAGATGATAAATCAAGTGTAATTTCGAGGCATTTTCTAAAAATTAGCTCAAGGTTACTTAAATATTCCTGGGGTCGTAGCCTCCCGTCTTTCATATCCTATAAAAGACGGGAGGCTACGACCCCAGGAATATTAACGTAATCTTGAGCTAATTTTAAGAAAATGCCTCGAAAATTAACAATAATTAGCAATGCTTTAATCGATCTTTATATGTGTTCTTGCAGATGCAGAAAGTTATAATAACGTTGTTATTTGGAATCGTTTACAACTGCCATGGTAAGTGAATAACAGCATACAACTGGCTTAAATATTGCAAAAGGCAATTTTAATTTTATTCCTTAATCAATAATTAAAATCAGAGTGTGAAAGTGAAGGTGGTGTTGTACATGTTACTGATGTTGTTGTCGTTGTTGCTATGTATGTATGGATTAAAATACGCAACCTCAACATTTAATGACTGTTCAAAACTTGTGTATACTGCAATCTTTATTAAAAATACACTGATATGTTTGCAAGGCCATTCTCTCTAACTATCTCGACCATTCTCTCTAAGGTTGGGGCGCATTTAACGAAACTTTTCAGAGACCAGACCCTCGTCACTTTTAATTGAGAATTTTGTTTGTAGATCACTGACCATACTTCTATACAAACATCTAGATGCATCGCGCCTTTCGTACTGTAACAGCAAACGTAGAAAGATTCTGAGGAGACCATAAATAAGTATTGTAACTGGGAGTTTACACCACAAACCTTCATTTTGTCAAATGACAAACAGCTAACACGTTCAAGTTGTATTACGCGCAGCAATTATATATATTGCCTCGTGACTTAAGCAGAACTAAGCCGAACTGGTATGAATCCCAGGAAATGTAATCCAAGGTGATCGTTACAATTAAACACTCAACTTCTACTACTCTTGAACCGCTCACGGTTTGGCGAAGTTCCTTTGACTTCTAGCCTGCGCGCAGACGAAATTAAACTCTGGTTAACTCCGTCTGCGAAACAGCGCCGAAATCCTTGTTCTGGACTTCCAGCTGTGTACCCAGATTTGAGTACGCGCCACGATTGGCCAGTTAAAAAAGGCCTTTGTTTTGTTTGTCGTGATCGCCAATCAGGTTGAAGGGGAATTCGAAACGCACTTCCGGTAATTCGTTGAGTCCGTTGGGGGTCCAGGACAAGGATCTCTGCGCTGCTTCGCAGACGGTACTAATCAGAGTTTAGTAATCGTCTGCATGCAGGCTATTTGACTTCAAGCTGAAATGAAAAGATTCAAACATTGCCAAGAGAGAAGAATTTTGCATATCAAACGAACGTTCGGGTAATTTAATTTTGTTTTAACTTCATCGGTATACTCTTATTTACTGCCCAGTTCCTAAATATTGGTAATATTGGAGCAACGTCTTTCATTCGCTACTTTAGAAACTGAAACGAGACGGACGAAAAGGGGACTGCGGAACAAAAATGTGTCCCGCAACTGTTTCTTTCTAAGAGGACAACGTTGCGTCCAGTCATCGCAAAGGCCAGGGTTCGATTCCCGGTCAAGCCTGAATTTTTTTCAGGTTCTTTTCCAACCGCTTTGGTTGTTCATTCTACCGCGAATATCATTTTCACTTTCCCTTTTTTATCCGCAGTTCAAAACATGATAATTTAAAAACATTCTATCTGCCATTTATAATCGAGGCAATCCCTGGAATAATAACACTGGGATAACATTTTTATGGTTACAGGATCGCCACTATATCTAGCAGTAGGCTACTATCCTCTGACGTCATCTACAGCAGCCAATGATTCCAGCTTATCTGAAAATCCACCTGGACAACTTGCTAACACACATCCCTCTACTGGGGTTTATGGTGAAAATGGCAGTTCATATTCATTCTCCGGGACTCGATCACCACCGAGTTATATCCACTTACCTTCATCCGATGCACTAGATACCAGGTGATTTCATTATCTGAGGGTCCACTGCGACCTCAACACTAAACGTAACATTTATTATATTGGATTTATAAATACATACTTTTCTCACATTCATAACTTCACCAACGTAGCGAGGAAATGAGCATCACAACCCCAAATCGACCTTACATCAACCCCATATTAAACCTACAGCAAAAAAGACCCGGAGGAGAAGGGGGAAAAAACATAAATATGGTGTCGGGGAATGTAAACAACTAATTTGCGAAGGAGCAGAACGGGTACAGTAGTAGGGCAAGTAAAAAGCTGCGGTTTTTGCTAGGAAATAGCCACAAATTAGTTGACTAGTTAGTTTAAGTTAATGAGATTCCTCGGCAAAAAAGGATTATTCGATGTTGCATGAATTTTTAAATGTAGTGTAAGTCTATTTCTGGGTTCATCTTTCTGGTTTCCATGGATTTTTCCATATAAATTTTGCATCGTGGGAAACTAATTGCCGACTTGTTCATCACTTATAAACGCCTCCACTGGACGCGTGCTTATTAACTTGGAACTGTGAATTTTTAACATTTCTGTAGGTATTCGATTACTCTTCTCGCCTGGGTGTATTCGGAGGGGACAGGAGGTGAAATAGTTTCTTACTGGCAGGATTCCAACTATGGCGTAAGCATCTCGATTGAAAACTCTCGCCCAGTCTTTCACCTGTATTCACGTGACCAATCCAACAAGTTCTCTTTGTCGAGTGATCTGAAACTGCAGTCCAGTCAGTGGAGCCATATCGCAGGCTCATTTGACAACAGGACAGGAAATGCAATACTTTATGTTAATGGGATTAAAGTGGGAAGCAAAACTGGCCTTGGAAGTTTAGAGCTTCAAACAGAGTACGATTTATGGTTGGGTTATCTTTTCAAGGGAAAACTTTCACAAATTTGGATATTTAACGTATCGCTCGATAAACAGAAAATCAAAGAAGTCATGGATTTTATGAAATCAACACCGAGTGAGTAATACAAGTATTACATTAGCAAGTAATTTTATGAAAACATTTCCCTCAATTTTTTTGGTAAAAGAAATACATGCCCTTTGCAGCTTAGAAGCAAGACAGTTTTTACTTTCGATCGATCTCGCCTGCGCTCCCTTACCTTTAGGTTTTATTAGTTCTGTTTATTATTTAAGTTAAGGGCGGAGTGGCCAAATGGTTAACACGACGGACCTCAGATATTTAGGCCGATTTCAATCCTTAGATTAGATTGTTTTCTTAGGGAAAAGAAAATGCTCTACTTTAGTTGCGTTCCTTTTGACCAATCTAAATCCGGATTTTGCGATCCGAAATTCGATTTTTCGTTTCATTACTAATTCAATCTAAGATTGCAATCTGAACGATCCACCTTCGCACTTGGATCGTTCAGATTGGTATCTCAATCTGGTTTCAGATTTTTGTTCTATTTAACGAAACTTCTTTTCGATCGCAGAGAACGTGCTCGTTTATCAATAAACACGGCGGGTCAAGGTTAGTTCAGGCAAAAATTATTTATACTCGTCCTCTGTTCTATGCCGCTAAAGGATTGTAGTATATCAGTAGCCTTAAGTTCCATCCACAAGGAAGCGAAAACGCTTGGATTTTCTTACCGTAAAACCTCACGATAGTGTGCAATGTGTGTGTGTGTTTAGAGCGCGCTTCTCAGCACTGAGAATTCGTAATGATCTTCTCTATTTTCTTGAATCAAATTCCAGATAATTTCAAGTTGACGAGTCCCAGTATGAACTACCACTAGTAAGAGAGTTACTTTTCTTTCCATTTTTCCACGAGAAGACACTTACTAATAATTTAGCGGAAGAAGTAAAAAAAAAAACGTTGTGTTGAAATTGAGAAGATGATCGGAGTAGCAAGCCGCCGCTCATGGATCAATCTTATTTGAGATTTTTGTTTCGGCTACCACGAAAATCCAAACAATCTGGATTGTCTAAATCCGAAAAAAGGTTTGGCTAAAGGGAACGCAACCTTTATCTCTCTTTCTCCACCCATCTGTCGAAATCGGTATCAGCCGAGGACTAACTGTTTGAGAACCTTGCTGGGGATATCACTGCAGCAATAGCCTGGCCTGGCCTCTCCATTTTGTGGCGAGCCGCTAGAACAACAACAACAACAACGACAACATAAGCTTTATTTGCATGACTATAATTATGTAGTTACAGTATTGCAAAAGCTTTAACATAAAGTTACAATTTAAAACAATGATAATGCAATGCAATGATTACTACAGTTAATCAAGTGTCATCAGCATGATTTGATAACAAATTAGTACGTAAATCATTACATAATGAGACAAATTTCAACAAATGTGAATTTACGGAAAAATTCTGTGAATTCATAAATTTGATTATTAATTCTGTGTAAGATAGCTGATTTAAGTCGACTAAATTTCGCTGGATTTGATTGTAGAATTTCTCCCTTGGGATTGAGTATTTTGGACAATGGAAGAGAGAATGAAATTCGTCTTCAAATTCTAGAGAAGGTGCAAGCGAGCGGTGAGCCCCTCGCCCTCGTGTCTCCATTCGTGTGCCGCTCATGCAGCTTCTCGCGACTCACCCAATTATATTCAAATGTCTCTGGCTGAATGGAGTTCATTTTCCTAAAGAGCGCTCTTACCTTTAATTTCCAAATTATTTTTAATTTGTTGATGACATTATTTCTAGGTCCCACGAGCACTTCCTCGCCGGCATATGCAACCTTCGCATCTTCATTTGCTTACATTACTGCTGAAATCGCAACGAAAAGTCTTTTCACCCACTCAACCCAGTCGGCAAGTCAAAAGTATGTTTTTGTGTCGCCCACTGTCAGTCACACAGAGACAATCAGGATCACGTCGACAACACCACTCAGTAAACAGGTGACAGTGATGACTCAAAACGTATCAACTCCAGTTGTGAAAATTCGAAACATATCGTCAACTCCAGTCTTGACAAATCAAAACGTATCAACCACAGTCGTGACAAATTCTCAAAATATCAACTCATCAAGGGTCCTGAATTCCCAACAGGCTACTACAAGTAGTGTCACTCCAGGTAAGAGCGTAGAAAAGGTTTAGATTTCGTGTTAAAAGGTATTGGGTGGGTTGACTTGTAAGGCATTTTTTGGTTGGACAAACCTAGTATACTAATTAAAGCAATAGTCAAGATCTGCATACATCGTCTCAAAGAAGAAGCCCTGACGTCGTGTTGGAAGAGTGTTCTACCGTTAAGCAATCTCTCTCAACATTGCATTTAAATCATTATGGTTTTCAAACATTTTGCACATCCCAAATTTTGCGTTACAAAACAATGTTTGATCGTTTAAGCCACCTCATGAAGTGCATGACAAATACAAGTTGGACGAAAATGTTTGATCGTTTAGCCGGGCCCTAACAACGATCATTTCCCCGACCAAATTTCGAACCTGGCCACCACCATGTTTTCCAACCAGGTTGAGAAGAGCCCTCTCGACCTAGTCTCACCCGAACCAAACATCGCTCGAGCTGATGACGCATCTCACCACTTTTCATTTATGTCACACCCCGATTGCCGAACCGCTACTGGAAAAACGTTTGGGTAGGAGCGTCTCTCTAAACAATTACTAGCAATGTGAGATGCTTTTAAAAGCTGCTAGCTAGCCAACTACTAGCTGCTACTACTTTAAGCACAACTTCGCGGAATATTAGCCGTCTGTGTATCACATCACTAGAAAATTGTTTGCTCGGTAGTGCAGACGTGACATTATCTTTTTTTCTCTTTCAGTTGTGGACAATTTTAGGATAGTTGAACCATATCCTGAGAATATTTCTGCTTTAGAGTCTACATCTGCCCAAGTTACTTGCATAGCTTTCGATTCGACAGGATTAAAAACGCCCGAGAGAATACAGTTTATGAGGAAAGACAAATTTGGCAGATACACAAACGTTACTACCAATAACAATACGTATTTTACAAGCGAGGCGATAGAGGTTGAGCAAGGTAGGTTTAAACATAAGATTACAACAGGTTAGGTATAATTTGAGCACAATCTTTAGCAGAAACATCTCTTCATTAAAAAAAAAAACGACGGGAGTATCATTCCTTGTCCACAATCGGTCGTCACTTTCTATCTTGGACTGTATTTTCCTTCATAGCGCTTGATGGCTGCTTAATAGAGGTGACAACAATGGGAGGCTCCCGTTGGGACGCCAAAAGATGGTCGCGGCCGCTGGCTGAGAGGTGGCCATTTAATAGAGGGTTAAGTTTCATTCTTTTCTACAATTATTTCGGGGGTTTGATTACTGGCCGCTTACCAGAGCGTGGCCGCTTAATGAAGGTTTAACAGTCGTAGTGTGGCACATCATGCGTGGGTTGCGATGCCATGCTTGCATATCCGGCATGCTGAATTAAGGTGTGTTGAGTTGACCGCTCAGCTCAGCTTAAATTGCTGGTAAATTACTGTGTCCTTGTAGTAATCCCCCTTGATCATGAGAAGAATACGGCCCTTAGCTTGCTTATGTGGTTCGTTCTTAGCGTGGTAATAACAAAACCACGTTCTAAGTCACTTTCCGTTTGCCCAATGCTTTTATCGAAACACCATTTTTCACGAACAATTTAAATAAAGCATATAGCGTAGCCAGTAGTCTGGAAAAGCACTTACTTTCTTAAACTAACCCCTGAAGAAGAAGATCTGGAGGTCCAATAATTTCTTAAACCGCGGCTTAAATTAGACTTCGTTTAAATAACCGACCCTTTTTTTAGTTTAAGCCATTTTAAAATTGTTGTAAATTACATTCTACGTACGTAGAGTTTTGAATTCGTCTGTTTTTCTTCTCGATTCACCAGAACAAAATACAAAAAAAATTAAAAATATCACCCACCGCCTTGTTTGATATGGAATATTTAAGGTACAAATGAAAGCTCACGTTAAAGCGTAAGCGAATATATAGTTACCAAGTGTTGAACAAAAATAACGATCTTTTTATCAATTTGGCTGAATCATAACCAGTCTATCACTGTGGTCCTTAAGTCATCTAATATATATATTCAGCCAAGGCTAAAAGCGAAGCGTCCATTTATATACCTTTAACAAGCTTCTGAACCTATGCAAACAAACCCAGAAATTTATAAAAGAATTCTTACCCATACCCCTGTATCAATGCAACGCCCTCCCCCCACCACACCCCTTTGAGAAACTAATAGCCCATGAAATTTAATGTTTTATAACGTGTTAACAGAGGCGCAAATCACTCGCCATGCCTAAACCATTTTTCAGAGAATTTCACTCACGCGTTAGTCTGACACAGTCCACGAAAGAAAAAAAAAGTTCCACAACACCTTGCAAAGTTATGACTGACAATCAAAACTGTAAAAGCCTGCACGTTCAACTTTCACTTTCGTGGAATCCCGTGGCGAAGCCTTCCTCAACCGAAAAAACAAATAAACAAACAAGCTGCCAATAATAGACGAATGTCGATAGCAACTGTACCTTAGTTACGAACACGAACAAATAAAAATTTGAAAAGTTGAAAGATTTCCCCTGTAGTCCGCCTTAACAGCTTGCATGAATTATCACCGATGAATCTCGTTGCGACACTTTCCTAGACGAAAAACCAAATAAACAATTCAGTTCACGATTCACCTGTCAAAATTTTGGAGACTAGGTTGTTCCTGAAGTGTGATCAAAAGCATGACAAGTCAAACACAAGAAACTACAATCTAGACCTTTGCTCAAGCAACTCCGTTGGTTGCCCTAAAAATGGTTATTTTTGCGCCAAAACGAAAAACAGTGTATATGTCTGGGATTCCCTTTCCTACCCTACTGAGTTTTTTAACCCAACCCCAAGAGATGTACGGCCGAGCGGGTCCGTAAGCTGACGTAATAACCAAATTTTCACTCTCATGTCCAGCAGCTATGCAAAGTTATTGGCACAAAAGAAAGCGTATACATGAGAAAAGGTTTCAACTCCCATGGGACTGGTTTGGGACCCCAACATGACCGCCGTTTTATTGTTTTAGGCGACAGCAACTTGGCCGACGTGAGGTCATGTGTAAAAGGCTCTATACATGTAGGGTAATGCGTTTTGACCGTACAAGCATGATTGAGGTGTTTTCTGCCTCCTCTGAGTGTAAGCCTAACCCTGTCTCTCTATATTATGTTTTCTATTTTTTATCGCAAGAGGCCTTAAGAGTTTGTAGAATGCACGGATCCAGAGGATTCCATAGATTCTCTGGAACGTCAGTGCAACGCCCCTACTGTTGTAAGGAATCACCCTTTATTTCTCAAATCCCCCTAATTATTTTACAGGTGGAAAGAAATTGCGGAAGCTTTTTGTTACTTTGCACTTCCGAAATATAACGCTAGAAGATGACAGTAATCATTCTCAGTTGGTTGATTACGAGTGCCGGGTGTTTGCAGCTGGCGAGCCAGATTATTTCTCATATGGCTTTCAAGTATATGTCATCACAAGTAAGTGAAACCATAGGCGGACACAACAACAACACCTGCTACTACTACTACTGCTACTACTACTACTACTACTACTACTACTACTACCACTACCACTACCACTACCACTACCACTACCACTACCACTACCACTACCACTACCACTACCACTACCACTACCACTACCACTACCACTACCACTACCACTACCACTACCACTACCACTACCACTACCACTACCACTACCACTACCACTACCACTACCGCTACCGCTACCGCTACCACTACCACTACCACCACCACCACCACCACCACTACTACTACTACTACTACCACTTTTTTAACGTTATGTTTTCTATAATTGAATGAAGGAGTAAGTTAAAACAAAAAACTGTACATGTATTGCTGTTCTTTCAATCTCTGATATTTTTAGGATAGTTACCCCATACTTCTGGCATACGTACTCGATCAGGAGGGGATGGTATAGTGCGGCCTTTTGCAGTCACCTGGATCAAAATAAAGGCTAATCTGTGATTTTGATACCTTTTGGCATTTAATTTTTTCAGGGGATGAAATACCCACCGTGACTGTATCTAAGACTAGTAAGTTGCAGCATGGGGACAACTTCACAATTGTTTGCAACGTGACTTTGGGTGCAAAACCTTCAATGACTTCCCTGAGGACGATTTCATGGTACAAGGATGGCGTATTAAAGCGGTACTTGAAAATATCCAACGCAGAAAACGCTTCAGCTACCCTCGGACCTCTTGTTGGCAAAAATGCTGATGTCGAGGATGGAGGAAATTACACGTGCATTCTTCAGGTGCTGCTTCAAACCGGAAGAAAACACAATGTATCGGACGGAAGCATGGTTCAAAGTGAGTCTTGACTCCAGAATAATTTCAAAGCCCTCGGTCTCTTGACACAATCCCAAAGGAAAATTTTTCTTGGTTGTGATGTAGGCGGCTTTGGCACGATCTACCATTTTAGATAAACGACCGGTTAGCTCAGTTGGTAGAGCGCCGGACTGCTGTGCGGAAGGTCTCAGGTTCGAGCCCCAGACCGGACGAACACTCGGGGTCTTAAAATAACTGAGGAGAACATGCTGCCTTTGTAATGACATCTGCAAATGGTTAGATGTTCTAGTCTTGTCTGATAAGAACGATAAATCGTACGCCCCGTCTCCTGCATCTTCAGTGTTATATGGTCAGCAGCGGACGTTAAAGAACCCATGTTCTTGTCGTAAAGAGTAGGGCACGGAGTTCCCTGTGTAGTGGTCTGTCCTTGTTTCACGGGTTGGTGCTTCACATACAGTTAACCTCATTGCATCTTTCCCCGCTTGGACAAATTTGCCCAAGGAAAAAATGAGTATAAAATATAAAGCATAAAAAAGCCATCTTGATTTTCGGTAGTTAAAAAAAAAATTTAACAATGAACATACCTAAATTACTAGCAAACAGGTATGGCAAACTGAAATTGGTATTTCGATGCATATTTCATGCCAAAACTGTCCTGCGCACACACAACGCACTCAAAAACAATTCGCCAGTCCAAAAAAGGTCAACTCGATTCCTACTATACTTAATTTACCACTCCCTTTTAGAGGGTTTGACCGACATTTCTCGCTACATATGCCAAATGTATAGGGTCGTTTTATCTTGACAGAAAAAGCAGATTATTTCTGTCTCCTCTGATGAGTATCTCTGAACCCTCAATCTGTATCACTCACCAGTTATAGGCAAACAATTGATCCAGAAGGTTCCATAGATCCTGTGGGACCTCTTTCTAGATCTCGAAAAATTTTGTATTTGTAACCAGTCGCCCCAAGATTATTTCCCCCCAAAACCTCAAGATTTTACAGGTGGAAAGTTTTTTGTTACTTTGCACATACGGAACGTAGCGGCGGAAGGTTACGTGATAGTGAGGACACTTATGGTATTGAAGAGTCAAATCAATATTAACTTTATGCTTTTTCTTTCTCTCTCTTTCTCTCCCTCTCTCTGTCTCTCTCTCCATCTATTTAGTCACCTCTTGGCTTGAAAAACCAAAACAGGATATTGAATTTGAAAAGTTCAAAGGAGACAATGTTTCGTTTGAATGTGGAGCTAAAGGATTTCCTCTTCACGTTGAGTGGAAGTTTCAGAAGCGTGGCGAAGAAACAACACAGTCTGTCACAGGTGCGTTTATTTCATCGTTAGTTTGAAACATACAGGTATTCTGAGTAACTATGAAAACTCCTTTAGAGATTTACATAGACTTTAAGTAAGAGCTGTACCCAAAATAAAAAAAAGCTAAAGTAAGTTCGCGAATGAGTGTTTAATCCAACAGACGCAACTAAACTACAACGTTACCAGTCGACCCCAGAGCCTTAAGCAGACTAGGAGTGAGCAACTGAAGCGTCGCGCGGTCTACATCTCAAGTGACCACAGTGATTTCAAACAAAAATTTATATTTAAAATCCTAAATCTAATGCCAGCCTTATAATAAAAATACATATAATGAAAGCGAGACACTAAAGCAAGAGTGACACTAATACTATCTCCATTTATAATATAAAACGTGAAATCGGAACACCACAATAACTTTGAATGTGCGCGCAATATCACAGCCTTCTGCATTCTCTTCAAAAAATAACTCGATCGCGAACTAAAAATCTTATTCATCTCGAAATCCAGCTCCTTGGGCCATTCCCCCAGTACTTCTATGATGACTTTCAGCTGTACAATCTCTTGTATCCTGTCTATTCAGTGTCTAGTAAGCTCCCAGTGCAACGGTTCCTACTTCTCTGTATTCTCAGTGTCCTTCCTCACAGGGGTTTTCCAACCAATAAGGACAAATCATTTCCACAGAAAGCAACCTCTTTGCCTCGTGTTCTACAAATCGCGCATCCACCCTTTGTTGATCTCACGAAAGTGTTTTGCGTAAACAAGAACATCCCAACATCCCAGTTTAGGCTTAGGTTTAGGCTTTAGTTTTTGGTACACGTTAGTACCAAAAGGAACAGTGTCGGTGGAGCTTGAGGTCCCTTATCACTTTCAGTGTAGCATTATGCCTGTCCATATACTCAGTCTGCACTTGCGATAAACAACCCACCAGCACATGAGAAAGGCTTTCCGGTACCTTTTCCCACATTCTGGACATTGTGTCAATTTGGTCTGACGACCCAATCTTATAGACCGAGTAAAGTCGGATTGGCTACAGCTGTGCGCAAAGCTTCGTTACACGTTAATGTCAAACTAGGGTAAACAACCACGTTTTCTTAGCTGGTGGTCTTCTCTGGTCTACAGCAGACATCTTTGCCATTTCTGGTCTTCCACCTTCTCTCCGACGGCTTTCTTAGTTAGTTAACTTACTTGATCTTCTCTGATACTCTTCTCAGGAAGAGGATTGAAGCAAGCTACACAACGGTTTGCAAGTAGCCAAATTCAGACTAGTAGTTAGTTTCTCCGCAGACGACGATCGAATAGTATCCCATGATGCACCTCGATTCATGTTATATTATCACTGCGTACGTGACACATTATGATCAGTAACCTTCAGCACGCGCGAAGTGAACATCGATCGCAGTGCTCGATGTGGATGGTTTCCAAACATGTTTCGGTTCAGCAGCTTCTGCTTTTGAGATTATCGAGTTGGCTAATATTCACTGTGCTTTAAAGGAGAATTTCAGCGTTGCTTTGACTGAGAAGGGTTTTACATGTATTTCACTGATCTGTCGAGAACTACTTGTGCCGCGGTCGGTCGCACTGTAAACACAAATTATAAGACTCGCAATTGATAAGCTTCGCTAGGTTCACTAGGAGAACCCAGGCCAGAGGAGAACCAAAGCTATGACTGATCTATAAAGTGGTTCCAACAAAACATCCGCTACGCTGTGAAGCTAATTACCAAAGGATAATTTATTACAGCATCGCGCTCAAAGGAGCTGAAGTTTACAATGGCAGTTACAAATAAAATTTAACCTATCGATGCGACAAACAATTCTCTGAAGCACAGTCTACCCGGTATTGACTCAAGCAATCTTCAAGGAAATTTCCTGGCCAGAATACTGATCTGTTCTTTTGAATAAATAAAGTTTCTGCATGATGTTTCTTTTTCAAATTCTGAGCAGGCTTCAGTTTACGTTGTGCCGGCTTGCATGCTGCGTGGTTCCTTTCTTTGGGTTCTTTTCACATTGAAACGCACCGTTATACACCGCTCCTTCTTCGAATTAAAATAATTATAGTCAAATTCCTTTTAAAAATAACCTCCTTGAAAATACAAAGTGATTGCTTCGGCATAAAGCGCTCTCAAAAGCGCCCAACAGATTGTAGCCTTCATCAGGCTTTACACATATATTATGACACATGGCGTTGAAATGTGATAAAAGATTCGAAATTTCAGCCATCTTTGGTCGACAAAAAAGTCTTCAAAATGTGGGTACTTCTGGGTACTTCTTGGCCTGTACAATATTCAGGACTTCATTTGGCTGGCGTGGGGTCCACATTTGTAAGATTTCAACATATATTCCAAAAAACCTTGAATATTCATGACCTGGTTGTGGTTCACTGAACACTTTGTGATGGGAAGACTAATTGAAACCGTGAAAATAAATGTTTCTAAGTGGAAACTTCGCTTTTAAGCCATTGCAAATCGGAGAAATCATGTCAAATAACGAAATAATGTAATTTTTTTACTTTTACTGGGAATCGAGTGAGAAAAAAGCCGACGAGAAAACGACCTTATTTCAAGATGGAATCTGCTATGACTGCGATATTGCGTGATGCTTCTGGAAAAATGCATCATGGGATGCTATTCGCTCCTCCTCTGGTTTCTCCGTAAACATATGTGGTCCCTTCACAAGCGAGGAGATTACCTTCTTGCATGCCCTCTTTTCAAATAGCTTTACAGTCTTCATCGATTATTGGATCTGGATTCTCATAAAGTTTGATAGCCTCCTTAATCTTGTTTAGCCTGTTCTACAGACTAGACTGACTGCTCTACAGACTAGAGTACAATCCCCTTCTTCTCTTAGAAGATACAACACTGCAGAAGAGATGAGGCAGCTTCATCCGCCATTCTTCTGAATCAACTTCTTGTCTCTATATCGATGTTCTTCAGCTCTTCCATTTAGTGCCCCATGTTAGGTCCACATAGGATATGTCAAGACGGGTAAAGCAAACTGGTTTGCTGTCTTGACACGCTTGGGCTCCATATTTGGCTTAGATTTCTGAAAGCCTTTGCAAGTGTGTCTTCGCTTCAAATATGCAATTAAATTACAAACCTGTTTAGCTTGATCTCAGACGAAGCGAACACTTTTATTATCATTATCAATGAATAAAACTGCAACATGCGGGGAAACTTGTGGCCGGAAATCCTAACACCAAACGCACTAAACAAATAATGGTTCCTTCGCCGGATCAAACACGGGTACAAACATGGATACAAAGGTAGAAAACGTGGAAAGAAACTTGGGTCGAAACTAAAAACGGTAAAAAAAAAAAAAACAGGGCAAAAGAAATTACAAGTTGCGAAAAAGAAAATTTGACATAAACAAACAACAAAACTGCAACAAATCGAGGACTGTGAAACACACATTGTTACGGCCAGAGAAAACCGCTGTAGAAGCGGACTGAAATGAAAAACTGCTGGGGTAGGCCCCGAAATAAAGAACTGCAAATTGTACTGCAATAATGCGATTAAAAATACTGTTGAATATGCAGAAAAGAAAACTAAAGAAACTAAAAAAGGTGCTAATGAACATGAAAAAGTAGAGATGCTAGAACTAACGAGTGGGCGAAAACTAATACAAGGAACTAAACACTTAAATTCACGCAAATAGTTTTAACAAATGGACGAAGTGCGACTAATTAGCTTACGCAAATGGAAAAAGAAATAGCGTTCGAAACTGTCACACTTGGATTCTTCAATATATTTTTATTGATTGCAGCCAACAAAGTGGGAAGATATCGCATTGAACGCAGTGGCATCTACAATCCATATGTCTTGAAAGTCTTTGACTTAAAGGACGCTGATTGTGGAAATTACTATTGTTGCCTTCCATTGAACAAATCGGATAATGTGTCGTCTACCATAAGGTCTGAAGACTGCCAGCGTTTTGTGCTGTGGGTGAGAGGTACGCAACTAGGTAAAACTGAGAGTCGAGTTTTCGGACAAGATAAATGAAATTATCTGATAAGACAGAGATAATCACTACATTGAAATAATTTTGGAATCAAGCAGACCGGGCTTTATTTTCATCTCATGTGAGAATAAAATGCTTACCCCGCCTTTCAAAAACAAGCCAATTCTAAAGTTCAAAAGCCAAGAGACGTTTACACTCGTCGCTGCTGTCAATTATCTATGCGGACCTCTTGGGAAACGGTTTCAAAAGGTCATGGTTTGTGATTTGTGATTTTCGTTTCGTTTTGTGTGGGTTCGATGCTTGTGATTAATTGTGATTGAAGGCAGCGACAAACGCAATTGTGAAGACGGCTTTTGAACTGCAGAGTTTGTGTCTTTGAGAAGCGAGGTTAATAATTGGAGCGAAACTCCTTAAGCTCAGAATTTTTTAGGATTTAATAAAATGTTTACAATGATTTTAAAAAGGGTTTTACGAAAAGGGAAACAAGCTTAGTGACTATGTTAGAAAGTAGACGTCCGTCAGGATAACAGCCCGCAAGAGGGCAGACCATGTTCCCTTACTGGCTTATACGGGACCAGCCCGAAGGCTATATACCAGAGTTACCTTCTTGAAGGTTAATCAATTAAGGTATTTGAATAATGAGTAGTGGTGATTTTCTTAAACAAAATAGAAAAAAAGTGGAGGAAGCATCTGTCATTAAGTGATTTAAAGCTACTTTATAGTAAAATACTTCGAATAGACTCAACCTTTGTCTGTATCATTATAATTTCCATGTTTTTCCGTGATATCGTTCATTAACTCAATTCCACGGATTGAAAAAACAGATGAAGCGTTGATAAGTCGGTATGTGGTAGGGATGGATTGCTATGTTCATTCAAAAATACCGTATGAAAGGGTGAGGGGTTGTGGACATAGGTGGAGCTTTCTCGTTTAAGACTTTGATGAGTACCTCCTTCTTCCAGGGGAATAACGGCTACTTTATTGCTGGCCCTTAAATTGTTTTTCCTTAATATTCCTTCAGCGCGCTCTCGATAATTGTCGTTACAACATTGCGACTCGGCGTTCACAGTAAGGACAGAGAGAACTTCCTTTAAGAGTATTAATCATCACTTGTATGAGCAACATAGAATTTAACGCAGTTGTATTTTGACCTCCGGAACCACTGGGCGAGCATCGAAAGTTGTGAAGGCAGTGAAAACTACGAGTGAAAGATTGAACTGTTAAATCGCGTTTTTTCTCCTGCACCCTTTCCCCTTCTTAGGCCTTCCAGCCAGGATATTACATGTTAGTCTCCATTTTGTTTCCCTGTTTTACATGCATATGTTGCATTTACCCATAACATAACTCTAACCTCAAAATAATTTAACACATATTTATCTTGCAGAGGCCTGCAGAAAAAAACCTGAACTGGTCGCGATTATCGAAGGTGGTGCCGAAGTTATCCGAGGAGTTCACGAAAATATCACGATGAACGCCTCGCTTTCTTACGATCCAGATATAGGAACTGGAAATAATTCAGGAATGAACTTTACCTGGGATTTTGGCGAGATCAAAGGAAACAATTATTCATTCCCGTTGCCTGGCCTAAGTGGTATAACCGTTCAATACTTCGCGGAGAAAGGTTTCGGACCAGTCGTCACCTTCGCCAAGAAACCCCTATTACTGAATCAGACTTACATTATGAAGTTGGTTGTCACCAAAGACTATCGAACATCAAGTGTCTTTCAAGTCATTAGACTGCAGAATGGAGAACCACCTAGAGTTTCTCAAAGGTACATTTTTAGACGGTATTCATAAACCTTATCTTTTTTGTTGTTCCCGTAATTCTGTCACTGATTATCAATAAGCCGCCGGCCGGGCAGAAGAAATGTCCTTCTTGACGCAGTAATTGCCAATGAATGCGTGGTTCAGCCTCTTTTTTTTAACACTCAGGAGTATATTCAGAGGGTGGCGAGGTAAAGAACGCGACGTTCCCCTGTTGACTGTTTCAGGGTCTCCGTGGATATTGTATCAATCTAACTAAGTTAAGGGAAAATACAATGAAATCTGGGGAGGAAACTAGTCTCACTTTGTAATAACAACTTAGTCAACTCAGTAATGGAAATAAAAAGCTTAAGGTTGATTTCCACTGACGGGTTTTTGGCTACGCACGATAACGCACGTAAATTTTAATGACGTAAATATAAAAGAGGCAAGATGAAAAGTGCTGACCTTAAACGAGAAGTTGAGCGAGGTTCAACTTTTACGCTCACGAGCGACCTTTCATGCATTGCCTCTATTTTATATGCGAACGTAACTTTTACGCACGTACGCACGTAAAAATTACGCGACACTGGAAATCAACCCTTAGTGCGGCAAATGTCAATATTTGCACTATTTTTATGGAATCAATCCACTCTCGAGATAGTCTATCATAACCACTGTTGCATCAACGCAATACTGAGTCACAAAAGCGTAAACTATTGTGGCAAATATTAAGAAAGTCATGCCCTACAAGATGTGTATTTATTTTTATATTTAGCTGTCTTCTTAATTGTGGAGTTCAAACAAGTCCGTCAGTTAGGTTGAGTATCAAGTCACAGTGCCAAGGTTCTCAGTGCTCCAAAATATTCTCCTACGAATGGACGCTCTATGAACAGAACAAGTCCGCCTCAAATACTGATCCAATATGGCGAAAGGTGAATATATTGCAAAGCATTACAACTACGCCGCTAAACTCAAGTAACCTTGTCATAAACGAAAACTCGTTGGATGGGAGAAAGAACTATCGATTAGTGTTATTTGTCACAACTAAGGACGGTAATCGAGGATTGTGTGCTTACGACATTGTTACTGCTACGCCACCTTCAGGAGGACGGTGCGTGATCATTCCGTCCAGCGGCATATCATTAAAGACTGATTTCAACCTGAGCTGCAGCGACTGGGTCAGTGACACCACCCCTCTGACGTACCAGTATCAATATCGACTGGACAACGGTTTGTACAGCATGGTATACTACGGAGTAAACAACAGCGTTATTTCATGGCTACCCCCTGGAAACCGATCACATAACTACAAAGTCGAGTTTCTTGCTACCGTAACTAACAGTTATGGAGCTTCAGCACCGACTGTGAATCTTTCTGTCCGGGTGAGTTCATAGCTTGATTAATCCTAAGACAATTAAGTCATAGGCCGAGTCGTTCCCAGTCTTGATATATAACTATAATCCTGAACAAAGCATTTGAGTTGTCATGTTAACAAACCCTAGGTCTGACCTAATTGTCTTTCAAACAAGTTGATCCTGTTTATTTCCTAACAACGATCAAGAACCCGTTAAAAAACTAACTGGGAACCGTTAATGATCAGCTACTAGAAACCTTTCAACAGTCTAAGGCCTCGTGATTCGTTCGTTGTTTTTGCAGGTTGAACCATCGCAGCACCTGAGCCCAGCGAACTTTACCAGTGTCTTGACATCTAACGATAGCTTATTTAATCAAGTGATCGAAGATGGTGATCTGAACAAGGCAGTACAAATAGCAAATACAATTCTAGAAGCGATTTCGCTGGATTCTTCCCTCAGTACAGAGGAAAAAACGAAGGTAGTATTTCAAAAAAATACTGTTTATAACGATCCGCTCAAAACTGAAAAAAAGCCGAACCGACGTTCAGAAACTTTCCATTTCTAATTTATGTCCCCATTGGTTGAAATTTATGTGGCACTTAGGAGCTTCTTTGGATTAAAACCCCCTATACCAGAAAGGATATTACTATTGTCGCGAGAAAATGACTACGCTTAAGTCTGACTCGATCTTAAGCAATTTGCTATTCATCCAGTTGGATCCACGGCGGTTGCCAAGTAGTTTAGTGGAAATAGACCCTTACACGTTTTTTGCAACTTTTTACTGGGGCTAATTAGTGAAATTCGTCAACACGGCTGGGAAGAACGCCGTTAAATCGATCAGTTACCCTGCCAACACCTTTAAACTTGACAAGTTTATTAATTTCAATTACGGCGCTCTTTCCAGCAGTGTCCATGGACATTCGCTTACTGGGTTTTATCTAAACTTAAAAACACCGTGGAAGGGTTGATCGATTCGTGTTAAAGTGTGATCAGTTTTGTTACTTATCATAGATTCAGGAACTGATTGTCGAGAAAATTGCCGCATTGCAAGTTAAGAGTCTTCCAGACCTGCTGCAGTCTTCTTCTGTGATTGGCTCAGCCATTCAGCAAACTGAAACAACATCTGTAAAATCTCTGGTAAGGTATTATTTTCCCATGAAGTCCTCATAATCGTCCTGCTAAAACAGGACAGGTAAGGATGTTTTTAAAACTTTTTCTATTTATTTCGTTACATCTTTCACAGTCTAAAACGTTTGAATGACAGGCGCCACTCCTTCCTCCTTCGCGCATTTTGTGTCATCAGCTTCATGTTCAGTAGTAATAAGTGCTCAATGGCTACGTTATGTATTTTGGATTCCTTATTCGGTTTCCACCTGGATTTTCATTGCGTTGTTCTCAACTTTTCCAGCAAACTGGGAGCAGAGCCTCCTTTTTTCTTCTCCTTGATCGAGAAGGAGAAAAAGAGGCTCTGGCTGAATCGCGTTAAGCCTTTGAGGTCACCGAAGCCCGAACTGAACTGGTCAATCTTATCTTTTCTCCTCAAACTGGTTTTTCGACAGCGAACATTTTTTATTAATATAACGATAATCGTAACTGAGCTCGCTGTACAAGACGTTCTGCTATTAGGCCTGGGGTTCTGTATCCTAGCAACATGCAGATCTCACTCAATTTCATTTTTCATCCCGCCCAGATGTCACGCTTTTAACTCTGTGAGATTGTCATGCGCAAGAAAGAAGGGAATTGGGGTGGAGAATGACCCGATTTATGAAGTCTTTCTTGAGTACGACAAAATCAAACAAGCGAAAGAAACGCTCTGCTCCCAGGGTGCTATTCCAGGTAAACTATTCACAACAATTCGCAACATCGTGGAAGCAGTAATTTGTTAGCAGCCCGTTAGAAAACTCGCAGTAACATTTCTTTCTCTATACGTTCGCTCTTGTCAGGAATTTGCCCTACCTGCTATTGAGTCCATGGCTTCACTGCTCTTGAATGCTGCCCAGCAGAAGCACATGGACGACATACCGCTGATCACCCTTTCAGCAGAAAACTTAGGCTCATGCCTCAACAACGTACTGAAGAGTGCATCAATAATCGCATCAGGAAAATTTGGTTCCAGTCTTCAAGAACAGGTATTTATTTCCATAGTCTTCTAGTTGGCACAAACACTTGGAAAATCTCAGTGCAATTCCCCAGCAAATGTAATGACAGTGCTCTGTGCCTGTTATACTCGTGATGCCTTAATTGAAAGGTTCTTCCCGTAAGACCGCAATCTTGCTCAAGGAAACTAGTTTCTTGTCAATCATCTGTTGTAATTTAATGATTTATTACAGCAAATTAAATCCATTTCTTGGTGCTCGATTGTGACGATTATCGTTAGTACTCGTAAACGTAACCTAACGTTAACTTAAAAACAAGTACAGTGGAACCTCTATTCGGGGGACACCCTTGAGACCAAGGCAAGTGTAACCTGAAAAGAAATGTCCCCTGAATGGAGGTTGGACTAGGGTTTGTTAATAGTGGAGCGTCCGCGAGTGCGAAATGCGCGAGCAGTGGGGCGCCAACTCTCAGCCAATTGTTTTTTGGAGATTCACTCTTTGGCCATTTTCGCCAAATTCGTCAATTTCGTGACTTCTATATAAGGCTTTAGCGAATTTTAGCCATTTTCGGCATATTTCCCATCTCCGTCAAAATCGCCACTGCGATTTCTCGCCATTTTCGTCATATTCGCCACTTTTAAGTGGACCCTTTGCCTCCTCATTTGACTTGCAGGGAAGTCATTTGGCTATTTTGGTCAACATCACCATTTTCGTCAAAATCACGACTTTCAAAGGGCCTGTTTGCCATCTCATTGTAAATTTTATTAAGACTTTGGCGAATGTTCGCCATATTCGTCGCCAATTGTAAATTCGCCATTTTCGCCAAATATGCAATTTTCACCAAAATCTTAATGGGAACCTTTGGCCTTGTTATTACTTATTTGCTAAACTTGGCGAATTCTCGCTATTTTTTCTATTGGGCGCTTTTCTGGACATGAGTGGGTGAATCGGGCCTAAACATTCTAAAAATGAAGTAGTAATTGTATCAAACGGGCGCTTCCTTCTTTAGGGCAAAACTCTTGTAATGGAATCCTTCAGGATCATCAACATTATTGCAGATGCCGTGTTAGCAATGAAAGTTGCAGATGAAAGGGTGACGCGGATCAAGACTACAGAATTGTCCATGACATTAGGACGTCATACCCCAACTAAACTTGTTGGATTATCAATTGAAGGAGGGGACGGTAGATTTGTTTTACCTGATGAAAAAGGAACATTAGATTCCAGTACTGGTAACACAACTTTCGTAGACTCGCAGGTAAGTTTTCATAAATCCTCCTCCTTTTTAAAAAATTCTCGAATGAGCACTGCGCCATCAAATAAGCTATATAACCTGCGCAGCTCGAGAGATCATCAGTACTTGTATTTAGAGGCAGAGGAGTTGCAAAGCCGCGCGGAGAAGTGAGAAGAGACACTTTGATGGTTAGCCTAAATGTGAAATAATTGTCCCTCCTGATTTCCTCTATTTGCTGTTCAAAATACATTACACATGAGCTACAGTTTGATGACAGGTAATGTGCCGCTATTGCTCAAGTTCTTTAAAATTCCCAAACTTTTTCACAAGTGAAACGCCGAAAACATTGCATCGAGGCAGTTTTAGAATTAAGTCTTTTGTTATTTTCACCCAAGTGAAGCTAATCCAGAATCTGGATCCTGGACATTTTTGCTTGTGGAGGTTTGGTAGGCAAATTTTGCACATTTTTGCATCATTTTTAGTGGTTGTTTTATGGATATTATCTATATGTCACTACATTGACAGTATTCCTCAGTTCTTGAGGAACTAGAATATATCAAAATAAACTATGTTATGTCACCCAAAAGGTGTTAATTTAATTACCCCCTAGGGTGACACGGAAAGAGAAAAATCAAAATTTCAGAAGAATCCTTAGAGTTATTGTTAAAAAAGAAAGGACGTAAGATAGAATAATTCTGTGTTTGACTACGACACAGCTCCAATTAATCCAGCCTCTAGGGCACAATTTGCCATTTTGTAATTTGACCCATATTTTGACATCAATAACTCAGCTGTACGGCAATTCTAACCTTTAGTCAAACACAGATCTGTTCATTAACATGCTCTTTGTGTATTTGCCAAATTTCACAAAGAAATAATGATCCATTCCTCCAAAAAACTGGTTCCCGTAAGTCAAGGTAAATCGGTCACGCGGTAATTAACGCTTTTCCAGTGTGAAAAAGCTTATTTTCTTCTCAAAATCAACTGTTTTTCCTCGATACTACCATCACAGACCTTCTTGCCCGCCATTTTGAATCACCGCTGTGTAAAATGTTCGTGGAAGCCTAAGAAAATGCCAAATGACCTCTCTATAGCCCCCTTGGATTTTGATACGTGACCAGTTGCTAGGTGTGACGTATTTCCGGAAGATGCGTTACTCAGTGTCAGCTTTAATGCAGTGAAGCGCGCTGAAGTATGAAGATTGAAGAAGAGTTTTATTCAAAATTGAAAAGAATTGCTTCTGTAAAGTGAAAGAAATTGGCAGAAAAACAGACCAGAGGATTAGGGGCCAAGAAAACGTTTTACTCTCCCGGCAAAATTGTCAGAATATATCAGGTGAGAAGACACACCGATGTAATGTAAATTTAAAACAATATTAAGCCCTGGAAAACGGAGTATATTTCAAGAACATAACGGATTTTGACAAGAAGCAAGTAATATTAGTCATCACAGCTTTAACAGAAGGAAGAAAACTCAAGTTGGACATACAGCGGCTGTAGTTTGTCAATGAATCCAAGCAGTGAATAGATCTTGTTCAGCGCATCAATAGAACTTGATGCTGGAAAGAGGAGTCAAATTGCATTCCTGGCGTCCATTTTCTTAGTAACGGAAATGACAATTTTTCTTTAACTTCCGGTAAATCAGTCAACTTTTGAGTATATTTTCTCTTTAATGCGAAGGTATATTCAAAAAAGAACACCAGATATGCATATTACATCATCTGAACTTACTGTAGAAAGATTTTGAGTGCAAAATAAAATGTTGAAAATTTGCCTGTGCAAATACCTTAATAATGTTATCGTTAGCGCTTGGACTCCGGAATCCACAGCATGAAATCCAGAATCCAGCCTGTCTTTGATTACCTTACATAACAATCCGAAATACATGTGTTCATTACTCTTGGAAATATTCTATGGATTATAACGCCTTTTAGTATATAAACACTCAGTGATCTTGGTAATTTGAGCAATCTGATTAGTTCGCTTTCTCGGAGTATCACGTTATATTCACCGCACTAGGAGGTGAATATAAGGCAAAACAAAATCGCTGTCGTGAACTGGGTGTTTTGCCAAAGTTTTCCAGTAAGAACGTTTTGAAAATACAAGAATATCTTACAGTAGACGATTTTGAAGGTAGAAAAAGACTTCACGGTGTTTAAACAGCGTGATTTACTATAGCTGACTTTTTACGCACTCGAATCAATGTTTACCTTTACAGAGTGAAACAAAGGCGCTTTTTCACTGTTTTCTGAACTAGGGATTTCCTATAAGTAGAAGTTAATTTTTAGAAACTATTGATGCTACAGCTTACAAAAATATTAGAAACTATGATATACCATGTTTGAACTCAAGGTATTGTAAGCATAAAGACCTAACTGTCGCGAATCGTCTGTTTACGGCTACATGTTCACGCATTAATTCACCCATTAATCAAACTAATCGTTTTTGAATGGTTGCCTTTCTGATTGTGTTGAGATCACGTCATTATTCAACAATATGAAAATGTATTTCGTTCAGATATCGCTAAGATTCAGAGTATCGTGATGTGCAATGGAGTGTAATGAAATTTGCTGAAAACATAATTATCTAAGCCAAAGGTTATGCCATTGACGTGTTTCATGCACCATGTTCATGTCGTTTTTGTTTGTTTGTTTTGCTTTTTAAGATGCTCTCAATTCCATTCAATCCTTACACATGGGATGTCACAAGAGAACTAGTGGACTCTGATATCTTAGCACTGGACTTGAAAGACGACGAGCGTAAACTGATCAAAGTATCAGGTCTCCCAAACGACGTCCTGATTGTTACACCACTGAAACCTCAACAGATCTCTTTACAAATCCCGCAGTACTTCACCCAGAATGATAATTTACGATTTCACCAGATAGATGTCAAGTACGAAAACACGTTGATAATGGTGGAGATCACTCCAACAGATGAAAGTGTGACCCTTTTTGTTTACATGCGACAGAGTCAACGGCCAACAACACAAGTATATGATCTAAATGCCACTATCTCCAAACAGGAAACTTGCATTTGGTGGAATGCGCAGGAAAAAAGTTTTGGAAGAGTAAAGTGTTCTTCCAACAGATTTACAGCCGTTCCTATAGAAACAGTTGCTAGGCAACCTGGAAGGTACTTTCTAGGAATTCAAAGTTATAACACCAGTGTGACGTCCCTGAAGAGACAAAAGCGATCATGTTTCGGAAATAGACGTCAAAAAAGATCATGTGTGCAAGTGAAAGATCCTCCTCCCACTCCCCCTCAGAGCAAAAATGTATCTGTAGTGCCCGTGTATGACCCAGCCATCTCAAGGAACTATACTATGAGGGTGGCCTTGGGGAGCTGTGTGTTCTGGTCAGAAAAGCTGCAAATGTGGACGACAGAAGGCTGTCAAGTAAGTAATAACTGATGAGTGAGCTATTTTTTAAATTGGTGTTGGAACTCGGGTTGGTTGCTAAGTGTAAATTGTTAAGCCTCGCAATAAGCAGTAAGTAATACATGCATGTTTTTGCCGTCTCCACGTTCATTCATGAGATCTTTTGACTTCCTATGTATGTTTTGTGATCTTGTGCAGTTGTATAATGTAGTTATTTTGATATTTATTTTGATCTGTTGGAAAATAATAACATGCCCTTAAATTGCACAACCCAATATAAGTTCATTAATGAATCAATTTTGATATATTAAAAAAGTTCATAACTTTCTCGAGGCTTGAGAAGATAATTCAAGAGAAATAATCGCCTTGAGTTTCATAGATTAATTTTGTTTGTTGTCCAGATTCCCCAAGCCTCCGAGCCAGGTATGAATTTTAAGTTATTTCGAAATTGGTCTATAATTGACCTAACATGGAAACTTGGTTTTAAATTTTTTCATTCTTTATTCCGTAGGTTTTGTCAGCAACGTTAAATGGATTCCTGAACTGTTCATGTAATCACCTAACCTCCTTTGGAGGTAGTTTCTTTGTAAAACCCAATCCCATCGACTTTGATCAAGTGCTGGTAGAGTTCAAGAGACTTGCAGATACAGGAAATGTCGCGGTTATTGTAACCGTGGCAGTGGTATTCCTGTGCTACGTTTTTGTGATTGTTTTCGTCAGAAAAGCGGATCTGCAAGACACCAGAAATGTAAGTACTTATTAGGTAACTTAAATAATGCAACCACCACTTGGAAAAACACTACAGCAGTGTGAAGCTGGATCTTAGTGTAAACCAGACCGAGCAATGAAAAATATTAAACCAAAGGCAAGACTCATCGGACAGCTCAATTAGAGAATAGAGAACTCGTTCTCCTAGAGCTCATCAAATCAAACAGAGAGGTATTTTTTTATCACCATGACGACGATTGAACCCTATAAAATGAACTGGAAGTACAGTATTATACAAAACTAAGTTCTCCAGTTCTCTTAATTCTTTTAGTGAAGTCTTACTTCTATGATAATGTATGACTGTGCGATTATCGAAACTCCATGCTCTATAATCATCTATAATGTAAAATTATGCGTACAAGGGCATCGTAGAGGCGCATAAGAGTTAATTTTTCTAGTTTTGGGAGTGATGGTAGGTGGTAGTGCGGAGCCTTCGATTTAGGCTTCGGTGTCTCATTTGGCACAACGGAATCTAATCAGTAGCAGGTACCCATTCAGATCTCGGAGGATGCTTTTAACGGAAACCAATTTTTTGTTTCTGGCCTTGTAGACATGCGTAATGAAAACAAACCAATAGAAAAACAAAAAACAAATTATACAGCGCTCTCTTATAACGTCATGGTGGCCACATCAGTGTTTCAGAACAATGTAACGGCGGCCATGTTGGTGTTCCAAATCAACTCTGTTGGATTGTGTCAATAAACACTTTCTTTTGTTCCAAAAAATTTTAATAGATGCTGATCACGAGTCAGAGTGAAAACTCTTCACACGGAACGAAACTTAACAATAAAGGGAACAAAAACACATAACACTTTCCTTTCCTTTTTTGTTCCAGAATGGCTCTCCAGTTGAGCTGCCAACAGGATCAAACAGTTTGCACGAATATGAAATAACAATAATAACAGGAGTCTGGAGGAACTCTGGAACAACAGCTAAAGTTGCTATAGAGATATACGGCTCTGAAGAAAGCACTGGGAAGGTTCCGCTCAACAACATGGAAGATTCACCGAAGGGCACACTTTTCTCTAGAGGAAATACGGACGTTTTTGTTCTTAAAGTTGAAAAACCGCTCGGTTCCATTGAAGGGGTGAGGTTTGGGCATGACAACTCTGGAAATAGTCCTTCGTGGTTTCTAGAGGAAATCATTGTTCTTGACAAACAAACGCTTTGCTCTTGGACATTCACGAATACTCAGTGGCTAGCTCTTGAGAGAGGAGACGGTAGGATTGAACGGATGTTGGAGACAGAACAAAATAGAATAGATTTCAACAGCGAGGTTTTAAAGCGATGGTGGAAAGGACTCACAGAGAAACACATATGGGTCTCAGTTATAGCGAAGCCAAGGAGAAATCGGTTTACTCAGGTACAACGGGCGTCATGCTGTCTTTCACTGCTATTGACAGCTATGCTTGCAAACGCCATGTTTTACGAACTGGACGGAAAATCTGAGAATGTGATTCAGATCGGACCTTTGAAATTCACTTGGAGACAAGTAGTTATTGGTATCGAAAGTGCGCTCATTGTTGCCCCTATAAACATTTTGATTGCATTCCTGTTTCAAAAAGGGACCGAAAACACCGCGAGTCAAACCCGTGTTTGCTGGAAAGCAAATTGTCTCATTTACTTTGCCTGGTTTTTATTCGTTTGTTCATGTTCTGTTTCAGCGACGTTTACCATCTTCTACAGCTTGCTCTGGGGAAAGGAAATCAGTGAGCAATGGCTGTCTTCCATGTTTATCTCTTTCACCCAGGATATGGCAATTACTGAGCCGTTCAAAGTGTTCTTTACCGCAATAGTACTGTCAGCCATCATTATCAGAAAAAAGAGAAAGAGAGATGGTAGCGAATACGTAAAAGAGGCTAAAACTCGAACTTCAACTAAAGGACATTTATGGAAGATGAAGCTCAAAGACGTAGAGGAGATGAGAAGGCGTCAGGCGAAAAAACAAAATATATCTCGGTTCTTTGTGGAGCTTTTCATCTACCTTATTTTTGTTTTCTTGTTGATGGTGGTTTGTTATGGTAGCAGAAATGAACATCGATACATGATGACAAAATCCGTCACAGAAGGACTGCCAAAATTTGAAGCGGTAAGGGAAATTTCCCTAACATTATTGCTGAACTCTTTTCTCTTTTCCTCTATGATTGCTTGCTGGGAAAACTGTGTCTTCGTGTACTCAATGAACAGCGGCTTCTTCCATTACTATCCTTTAGTTTGGCTGGCAGGGGGATTACTACCTTCTCATTATTTTTGAGCTAGGTTAATATAAAAGGATAATGATTTCAGAACTACTCGCTTGATAGTTACTGAATGAAGAGAAGATCATCACAGTGAAAACCTGAAAACGCAACTTATACAGTTGCGAAACGAAAGCCTGAAAAAAATCATAAAAAAATCATAATAATTGCATTGTCGTTTTTCTTTCTTACCGGGTAAAACTTTCAAAAAATTACTTAATTGTCGTGGTTCTTGTACTAGTTTTGTTCATTGTTTTTGTCTTTTTGCTTTTGGGATACCAGGTCATTAACAAGAAACAGTACTGGAGCTGGATTAAAAATGTTTTTTTACCCGGTGTATTTGCTGGTAGATGGTACAACGGACGTCCCGAGAATCAAACCATGTACATCGGAAATAAACGTTCAGTCCTGGTAGGAATGGCTAGAGGAAGGCAACTTAGAGCTCCACCTGGTGAGTTATAAATTAGAAATTGCGTTAAAACTCAACTAAGAAAAGAAAATTTCGCGGCCTGTCATTCCTTTTCAAAATAATCTCATAAAGTACGATTTTTAATTGCCATTTTCTCCGGGCATGGTATAAACAATGGATGTTGCCGCAGAAGGAGCGAAAAGGCGACGTAGGCCATTTTTCCTGATACGTATTTCCTCGAGTAATAGCTGAAAAGGGGGCGATTATTCGAGGGAAGGCGATTATTTCAAATATTGGTCACTGGAAGTCGTGGATTGAATATTAGAATATTTTATTTATTATCTTTCCATTAAATCAAAAAATAATCAAAAGATAAACTGAACATGGATTTTTAAGTGTTCCAAATTTAGTTTCTTGATGAATTTTTCGAGTTTGAATCGTCACTAATCAGTTTTGCTGAATCACATTGCTCTTCAACGTTAGGAGGGGAGGGGATAAAAGGAGGAGAAGATGGCAGGAGGGGCGAATGGGGGAGATTATTAGAGGGAGGCGCGCGATTATTTCAAATATTTCTTTCAAAGAGGGGCGATTATTTGAGAGAGGCAATTAATCGAGGGACGGCTATTATTCGAGGAAATACGGTACCTTGCGACATCATTTTATATTCTTGAGCTTTCATTGTTAAATGTGAATCTGATCCGAAACACAAAATATTAAAAAAAATAATAATAGCCTTCTGCTAGCAAAAAGGAGGAATCTAAACGAAGAGAGATTGCTTACATTATTAAGAAAAAGATATGTAGGATCTGGAAAACTATATCTACTTCCTTTCTCCAAACCCTTATCAAAATTTGCATAAATTCTTAGATCTTTATAAATAGGTTCTTTTTTTAAACATTTGCAGAGACCTGTGAAGTTTTGGATTATATGAAGCATATGTTTCCTGTTTGCTACGGCGGGTACTCACGCTTAAACGAAGATAAGACATCCTTCAACAAGCCAGGGTGGAAGCCTGTCGACAACTCCACGAATAAAGACGAACTTTTCCGACTTTGTCCGAAGCCTTGGAGATACCAAAGTGCCGCGGATACGGACACGGTTCCTAAGTGGGGACAGTTTTCGTTTTATCCTGGTGGAGGTTTCGTGGCCGACTTAGGTTATGAAAACTCTACAGGCTTTACCGTTATAGAAACACTACAAAACAATGACTGGCTCGACAGGCGAACCAGAGTCATTATATTGGAATTTTCCTTTTTCAATCCATCTGTTAATTTACTTTGCATCGCGACGTATTTCTTTGAGTTAGAGGCTTCCGGATACAGCGCCCCGTTCACAAGAACAGAAGTGATTTCATTAGACTCAACAGAGGCTGGTTCGCAACAATTTTACCTCATCTGTATTCTGTTCTTTATCATATTTGTCGCGTTTTACCTTGGGAGAGAGTGCTACAGGCTGTACAAACAACGTTCTCGATATTTTAAATCTTTATGGGGCTGGGTAGAAATATTCCAAGTATTGTTTTCCTTGTTGGCTGTGGTAATGTACATCGTAAGATCTAAAAAGGCGACCTCTACGATTCAGAAGCTTCAGAAAAACATCTACGCAAACCTCAGTTTTCAAGAAGTCATCATTTCGCTTGAAATAGAGAACGCTGCGCTAGGGATTTTAACATTTATTGTCACTGCCAAACTTTTGAGGCTTATTCGTTTCAATCAACACGTTGTCGTGTTTTCGAAAACACTGAAGACGTCTGCGCGACTGTTGTCATCATTTACCGTTGTTATGTTGATCTGTTTTACTGCCTTTCTGCATTTCGGGGTTTTGATCTTCGGGACAGGTTCGAGGCATTACTCTTCGATACTCAGAGCTATGTATTTTCAACTCGAACTGACTCTGGGGCGCGTGAAAGCGAGACCCATCAATGAACTGGCAGATGCCAACGACACTTTTGGAAGAATTTTTGCCGTCTTGCTTCTTTTTACCCTGACCATATTGGCCATGAATTTTTTTATTGCCATTATGAACGATGCTCTTATGAATGCAAAGACCTGCGCGAGTGAAAATGAGCTCTACGACCTTCTGGATGAAAATTGGAGTCAAAAGGAAGGAGAGAATAAACGCATATTTGACGCTATAAGTGAAAGTATAAAACAAACGAAAGGAAATGACGAAATAGTGAAGATGACGAAAACAGAGATAAGGAATTGTGGTGAAAATCCCAACAAAAAGTGTGTGGTCAATTTTGATGCAATAAGCAAAGCAATTATGGCATCAAGAGAAGATATCGTGGAAAATTTAGCAGAGAAGAAGTTTAATGCCAACACAAGGAGAAAATCCTTGTTTGATAAGATCAGCGGTTATATTTTGAAAAGAGAAGAACACAAAATTCAGAAAGAACTAAGGTCGTCACACAGTCAACAGCATCGCAAAGTACGCTTCTCAGAGGACGTTATCAAATGCCAGTTTCAGAAGCTACAAAAACAGAAAAAGTTCCTTTTTCAGCGCTTAGATAACATAATTCAAGGTCACTCTGATGAAGAAGACAAATTCCAGCTGTTATGTTACGAAGTTGGTTATTCCTCCAAAGAAACCACTACAGTCGCTGACCAACGAGCCACGAATGACTCATATGCGTGACAATAAAATAATGAAAGGACCGGAATGCTTAGAAAATTTGGCACACGTTTTATATACTATAATAGTCATATGGGATAAGATTCATTGATTCGCGGGGGTGTTTTTGAAACATTAAGTCACATCACCATTTATTGCCAGTGGTTGACACACGTTCTTTGATGACGTCACAATTCAAGGCTTAAAAGCAAAAAGGTCTGTTTTACAAGCCTTTCTCTCTTGTCAGTGTAATGATTTTGTAGCCGTGCAATTAATAAACGTTGAGGTGATCCAAGTTTGTGTGGCATGTGTGGTAATTATTTTAAACACCTTGAGTAAAAAAGCGAGATATCAAATGTTTTATCATCTTCTTGTGTTCTGTTGATAGCTGTCTTCCTTGCGGCTCTAGGCTAGTTCCGTTGTCACTGATAAACAATAAAAGTTTCGTACGATGTTACTCCTGTTGCATGATTGATGTGGGGTTGGACGATAGCCGTTCATTATTATTTGGATGGTCATCAGGGGCGTAAGCGGGATTTTTCTAGGGGTTAGCCTGTTCCAGGCGTTCAGATCGTGGGGACAGCGCCGAACGCCTGAAACAGGTCATCTAGAGGTACGCACTATTTTCCCAACCCTCCTCCCCTTCCTCCTTACAACAACGTTTTCATTTGGTGCTTTATACTGATAAACAGTTACAACTTATAGATATTTCTAGCAATCACAATTTGCCGTCTGTCCTCTTTAAATTTATTATCCTGCAGCTTGCTACCATCTGAGCCCTTCTCCCTGCCCTTCTCTAAACTGTGTCCACCACTAATTCTTTCCCTGGAAACCGTTGGTGGGGCCTACTTGCAGACGTTGGTAAAACAAAACAAAACAAACAAAAGCTCGAATTTGAGCCTCCTGTCCAAGTTGATGAACAAGTGTAGAGCTACAGTTTTCAGACGTGACAAAATTTCTTATTTTGTCGTTTACTGGTCATCATATTGGTACAAAAAATAGTAATTGTATGCGAGGGTCCTTAAATAAAACTTAACAAGCACAATTTACAAGCGTATTCATTATTTTGATTGACGTCTGACTGTCTCTAAATATCCTTAAGTACACAAACACTAAAACAAATGCGAAGTGGCCATCACCAGGATTCATCTTGTGTTTTATGAGTGTGACATCTCACTACCCGTCGTTTCGAGGTTCCCAAATAGGTTTTTCGGGACCCGGGATTTCCCTTATTTAAAACTCGGGATTCGGGATTTGAAAGCAGAATCTGGGCGAGTTTTGGGATTGAAAGTACGAGCGGAAGGTGGGATGCCAAAAATAACCCACGGGATAGAGGGATTGCACGAATTTTTGGGTAGGGATTACGCGATTGAAGAACCCTATTGGGGATCCTCCGTTTCCATGGTAGGGCAATGAACGGACGGGCATTCACATGAAACCCGATTACCTTTAAAGGGGCTCCTTTTAAAGGAGCTGTGTCACGAAATTCAGCCAAATTAGGAAATTACAAAATGCCCGTTAAATCAAGAGAAACATAAAAATAACCACTTAAAACTTTAAAGGAAGGTAAAAATAACATAACAGAAACAACCGATGCCACGGATGGGCAAAACTGAAGAAGATTGAAACGGATTGAAATTAGCTAGGGTTTTTGAGAACTGTTCAGCCTAACAGTTTTTGAAAGTTGATCCCTGTTGCTTGCAACTTCAAAAATAATGCTCAGGAGACATATTTGTTTGTCACGGATCTCTGATTTTGTCATTTACATGTAATTTCTTTGCTTACTTTAAGTTCCATAGCGATTAAGGGCGAGTAATTGGCAAAATTAAACAAAATGAACTGGATTGCCGTGACACAGCCCCTTGAATTCTTATACATAAAGAGAACTCCAGGTACCGTCCCAATCCTTGCAACGCATCTTCACAGGCTTTTATCTATCTTTAATCGGTTAATTGCCATTAGTAAAATCCAACTAGTGGTCTATTATCAATGCTACGTTCCGATTGGTTGAGCTACTACTAGGCTATATGTTATAGCCCACTAGTATCGAAAAGCGCCGGCTTTTTGGCGGCTAAAAACTAGCTAAAGTTGTTTTGTCTCGATATTTTTGACTAACTAGTTGGATGTTACTAAAACAATCATTCCTCTCGCCCTCCTGGCCTCTGAGTCAATAGCCCATGAGGCCGATTCGGGCTCGAGGAATAATTGTTAAATAGTATAGGCTAATCGTGGCAATGGGTCAGAGCTGGCTTGGCTGTATGTGATGATAGGTAGGTTTTGGCTATACACGTGAACACGGGCAAAGACGGAGCCGTAGCAGCAGTAGATGGAAGACTGCTCCACACAGGTATACATCGAGAAAACAAAAGAGCAGTTGTATTGAACAATTCATCAACAAAAGCGGGTGAAAGGTTGTATTTCATACTGTGGGACTTTCCCCTGGTACAGGAGGTGTTAAAAGATAAGTCACGGAGGGCAAAGCGACTAAATTATTCATACCTCTTATTAGCCGAGTTTTCGGTCCGTACTGTAAATTACGGACCGAGTTTTTTTCCATCGATTTATGGCCCAAGCGTAAAGCGCGCGGGTCATAAATCGATTAGTCTGCTACACAGCCGTTTTTAGTGTCGTCACGCAACGCTCCTCCCCACTAACGGCTGCTGAAAACCGAACTACATTCCTTTCCCGTGATTAGCCAATAAAAATTCAGTTCCCATTTTCTGGAAAGTGTTCGCGCCACCTTTGCGGTACTGTGACTCCTCCAATCACAGCTTTGCTTTTATCGTTGCCCCATGTGTGAATAACAGAATAATCAAAATCGTCGCGTGAAAACAAGCAATTAACTACAGTGTTGTCGTAGTCGAGTCCTATTCAAAATTTAGGAGATAAGCAGCAACAGCAAGAAAGTCGAGCAAATTGCGATTCACAACATGGATGTGCTCATAAAGTTGCCAGGTATAGTTTCGGGAAATCGCTCATCGATAATTTATAAGATTGCTTTTTGACTCAGTACCCTTGAGAGTTTAGTCTTCACAGAACACAATGAGCACATCCGGTACATTGAATTCTTCACCACATATCAACACATATGCACGTTAAATGAAGAACCAACCGATCCTGGTAAAAGTTTTCTAGGCCTATCAAACCTTCTTTTCACTTGGAACTTTCTTGACCGCTTAAAACAACCTTTTCTGCAAATTAACCTTTTCGTTGCTTGAAAACAGAGAGCCCGTCTAAATTCAGCGACGATTGATTGATTTGTCGAAAACTGAGAAGCGTGCTCGCTGCCTAGCGCCCTGCGGCTCACGTATTGTCAAATTTCTTGTACATGATTGGTTTGTTCGTTAGACCACAAACACAAAGGGAAAGGAATGTAGTTCGGTTTTCAGCAGCCGTTAGTGGGGAGGAGCGTTGCGTGACGACACTAAAAACGGCTGTGTAGCAGACTATAAATCGATGGAAAAAAACGAGAATCAGTAAGTTACAGTACGGACCGAAAAAACGAGGCTAATAAGATATTTATTATATGGCTTCTTCCTGTTTGGGGGACCGGAAATTTGACCGATTTGACAGTCATTTGACAGGTGTCAAAAACGAAAGTTTTTATTGGCGCACGAAAACAATAGCACATAATTAAGGCTTTCCGAGAAAGTAAAAACAAATTCGCCATGTTAAAAAAGTTTATTTGGTCAACACTAAGAGCACTGTAAGTTTTAGCTCTTAAATGTAACGCTGGAGTATTTTGGAAACCGGACACTGCGTATCATAGAAGTCGTTTCCATCTTTCCTCCGTTTGTTCTTGTGAAAAAACACTGCAAAAGGCAAAGAAGCTTTTCAAGGTGAGTTTGTTGTCATTGTCGAAGGATTCGCTCGTTAATTGTTTTTGGGAAAACCTCTCTTTCTGCCAGTTCATTCTCGTCTTCATTGTGATCTGTGTTAAAATTTTCAACACTCTTCCTCGGTAAGGTTACGATTCAGTTTCTAAAACAGCTTCGTTCTCATTAAAACAAAGCTAGGTTAAAATTTGGAAAGGCAAAGTCAACACCCCAATCCTCAGGGTTTACAGACATATTTCAAAGTTTATTCGGTGGAAACTAAGAGCACTGTAAGTATTCACTCGTTAATGTGACGCTGGAGTCTTTTGAAAACTGGACATTATTGTGTCTGGCTCGAACTCGCTTCTATCTTTCTTTCGGTGGTCTTTGAAAAAAACACTGCAAATGGCAAAGAAGCTTGTCAAGATGATCGGGTGCAGGTATGTTTGTTATCGTATTTGTTGAAGGAATTACTCATTTTCTCTTAGGCAAAACGTCTCGAATCTCTGCCAGTCGATTTTCGTCTTCTTAACTGTGTACTATGATAAAATTTTCAAACACTGACTAGAATCCTCTTCGATAAGATTACGAGTTAGTTTCTTCATCGCCGTCGTTCACAAAGAAACAGTTTAAAATGTTGAAGGCTAAAGTCAACATCCAAGTCCCCAAGGTTGACTGTCGTCTTATACTTTATTTAAACATTTTTCCGAGATAAAGAGATTTAGACCTCCGATATGAGCATTTTCTTTAAATATTTTGGTCCGTATAGCAAGTTACGGACCGCAAATTGACCAATCGCATGGCGAAAACAGACTCAGCCATATAATAATGGATCTTATAAAAAAGTGAAAGGTCATTTAGAATGTTGTTCGCTCTTGCATTGGCCGAATTTATTCTAGAGACGAACTATTCGTCTAGACGGATTATCCGTCAGATAGATAATTCGTCCATGTATAAATCCGAAGACAAGGTTTGACGAATTATTTGTCTAGGTATTTTACGCGGGTTACACGACGGAAACAGGAAACATTGCAAAAATATAGAAACCAGTCCCTCTTATCTGGAAACTTCGTCAAAAGAAAGTCTCGTTCCGTCTAGATATAAATTTAGAGACGGATCGTTCGTCTAAGACGAATTTTCAGATTAGCACGTCTTCATGACGTGCTAACAGAGGAATCACCCTCAGACGAATTTTGCTCCATAATTCCT